ACGACAAAACCAACATAATGGGTTTGCGGCCAACATGGATCGAGAACAGCCTGCGAATCCGCGCAGTCTGATCAGGATCCATGCTGTTCGCTATCAGTTTCTCTACTTGTAATAGGGTTGGTAAGCGAACAGCATGGATCCTGATCAGACTGCGCGGATGCACAGGCTGGTCTGGATCCATGCTGGTCGCAAACCCGTTATGTTGGTTTTGTCATGGCGCGGCTCATTTTACTTTTATACCGTTTGCCGAGAGTGAGACTAAAACATTAGTACTGAAGGTGAGATGACTCATCCTGGATGTTGAAGACATACTAAACATCAGTGATTGTGTTTCGTAATAGTGATATTAGTGACTTTCCTTACTGAATGTTAGGACATAATTATAGTATGTGACGAACTGTCTATTATAAAGTCAAAGAAGGAAACAGTTTTCTGTCTTGAATGGTACACATTGCTACATCAATCAATCAAAAACGCGCAAAATGGCAGTCATATGCTACATCAATCAATCAAAAACGCGCAAAATGGCAGTCATATGTCACGTGGTATGTCCACACAAAGCAATGATAAATCCAACGTTTAAATAACTGTCTTCAAAGTGAAATTTGAACGATAAGAACAGGTGTGTTATGGCTACGACAATGTTGTGTGTTATGGAGAGTCTACTCCCTTTCGTACTGAATGTGTGTTGTGTGTCTATATGAGCCTCGTCACGACAAGACCAACATAACGGGTTTGCGACCAGCATGAATCCAGACCAGCCTGCGCATCCGCGCAGTCTGATCAGGATCCATGCTGTTTGCTTACAAACCCTATATGTAGTAGAGAAACTGATAGCGAACAGCATGGATCCTGATCAGACTGCGCGGATGCTGGTCGCAAACCCATTATGTTGGTTTTGTCGTGACGCGGCTCAATTATCTTAATTTAAGCCTTGCTTAAACAATGAAATGACGTCTGTGGTGAGATTCTATCGTTTCGATGTTGGACTCCTTTCACTCTTAATATAAAAACATGTATTGCTACGCCGGCAATTTGTTAAAAAGAATGTAGAAGCATGTACAACTACTAGTATTAGATGTTAGAAGTTGAACTTACATTTTGCCCAATAAAATCGTTTAAGACCATTTTTTTTCAAATTCTAAGATACATTTAGATATATTATCTGCAACAACCTGGTATTTAAAGCTTGTTTAATCAGTGTGTTATGTATACTCGCTTTGTGTAAACAACCAAAATATAATTTCAATCACCCTAAGTAAGTTAGTATAATTAGCGTCAGCATTGAATTCTATAAATCTGACGACGGCTTGCGACTGGACAGATAGATTTAATTCTATTTATGCTGAATAACAAACACTAACCTATACTTTGTTTAATTGATATTATCTCAAAGTTATTATTGAATTGTCATGAACATATATCAGTGAAATCTGATGTTCTCAATCAACTTGTTTTTATCTTAAACGTATTATTTATGTAATGGCGAAAGGAAACTGTCAGCGAATTTTACATTTTATATTTTTGGATGAAAAATAAAACAAAACAATACAGTATCAGCGTTATGTTATTTTTTTTATTAATATAGTTTGAATGATTAAGAAGTAAATGGTTCATAATAACCATCAGAATGCCTGTAGATATGTCTATGTTAGACTTCAATCAAGCAGAAACAGTAATGAATAATAGCACAAATCCACGAAGGGAGAAAATAAGTACCATGTAACGAAAGAAACGTATTGAATGAGTTGCCTCCCTTTCAAATTTTAAGACGTTGCCTTTTCTTTGGTTTATAATAAACGTTATAACAGCACATTAATATCATGTCGTTCTAAAAAATTTATGTTATACCCGTAACATAGAAATACTTCTCTCCCCAGCCAAGACGTTACAATAATTATCAGTTTCAGTTTTTATATGGCAAATCGGCATATTTAACATATCTTTGGCCAATTTAACAAATACAATTGACAAATTGACAATTGACAAATACAATTGACAAATATAAGGTCAAGTCATATAACATACATAGTTTACAAGATATAAACATATAAGCAAACATGTATATTTACAATATTTAATTTTTCCAAAAGAGAAAAAAGTGAATTGTATGCTTTAAGAACTTGACTTTTTCATGTTCCCTGTATAAGTAAAATTTTCACCAATATAAGTAAAATCATCTACTACATCAATTTGTTCAGCATTTATTTTCCAAACACAATTATTTACTTGTTTTCTTTTCTTTAAAATACATATTTTCGTTTTATTAACCTTTATTTTAAGGCCCATTGAATAGAATAGTTATTAAAAATAGCTTACTGAGCTTGCAAAGATTCAGGGTTGGTTGTGAATAAAGCAATATCAGCAAAAAGAAGCATATACATATTTAACTGATTAAGGTCATTTTCAGTTAATAGGTTAAAATCAATATTTTCATTAATGTCATTCACAAAAAGAATAAAAAATAACGGCGATAGTGGTTCCCCTTGTTTTAAACCTATAGAGACGTCAAAAAATCTGGAACATTCATAGACTCTTGTGCAAGACAATTCAAGACTCTCGTACACAAGATTTAATACTTGTATATAAAGACTTAACAATACTAACCATTTTACAGCTGACTCATTGTTTTAAAAGCTTTGCCCATAAGGCATCTCTAACAAATGGGTCGAACGCTTTTTCATAATCAATGAAAGCACAATAAAATTTCAATTTAGTAGTCAACACTTTTTGAATGTATAAATATGCAGTCAGTAGTAGAATGATTATCTCTAAAACCAAACTGTGATTCATCAAAAACATGATTTTGCTCACACCATTTATTCAATCTATTTCTAAGCAATAAACAAAATATGTTACCTATAACATTCACAAGTGTAATACCTCTGTAATTAGAAAGATTTGTTACATTACCTTTTTTGTGAATTGGTACAATTATACCCTTACAAACCTCTGGGTGTAAACCAGAATCATGAATTTTATTTAAAATGTAAACAAGGTATGGGGAGATAAAACTATTAGAACTGATAAAAAACAACTCCATTCCTGTCATAGTCCTATTCATAGATGCAATTGTTTTTTGTTTTTTTTTGAAACCTCTTCAATATCAGAAGGACGATCAAGCTCATCAATGTTTACCTCCTCATACCTCACTTCGTGTACATCGTCAAATGAAAAGTCATATTGCATTTTATTTGAAATATTCTTAAAATGTTCTACGAAATCATTTGTACTCAAATCCGATGATTTAGATTTATTGTTATTCTTAAACTTGTTTATATACTTCCAAAACTTCCTTTGACTTTTCTTACTCATACCATTTAATTTTGACCTCTCTTGAATTTAATAAGAAACAGCCCGTGTAATAATTGAATATTCACTCCTACTTTTAAGAAACTTTGTTTAATTCAGTTTTATTTAAATAAAAAATTCTCTTATTGCGTTGAAAAATAGCATAAGCACTTTTACACTGCTCATTAAACCATGGAGCTTTCTTCTTTTTATGTGCTTTCTTTTTAGACTTGTGTAGGTTCGACCATTTAACCTAAATGATATATCATATACAGTCTTTGAAAATTCATTTATAGATGCATTTAAATCAATTTCACATGTTTAAGTGAATGTGACAACCCTTAAAAATATCTATTTTCCCTTAATAAATTTTGCAACTGTTCTGGGTCTGCATTTCCCATACGTAAAGCTACCACACGGTAGGGAATCACGTAACTTTTACGGTAACGCATACAGACAATATGGTGGCCTGAACACCTCGCTTCAACATTAAAAATTCCTGTTGCATATTTGAGTGATTGTAAAATCAATAAGCGCGGGGGGGGAATAAATTATAGGCGACAACAGTTCTTTATTCCGCGTAGGCTTCTACAGGTCTCGTATTTAAGTTAAAGGAATATAATAAAGAATTACCTGAAAAACACGTTCGAAGCGAGCTGTTTAGGCCGCCATATTGTCTGTACGCGTTACCATAAAAGCCACTTGATAACCTGCCGTGGTTTTAGTTCGATTACCAGTATTGTTGGAAGCTATTAGGTTACATACAGACTTTCGAATCCGTCCTTAAACCTTTCAGTGCCGAACAATGAGTGTAATGTTTCTTGCTCAATTAAACAACGACTTGTCCCTGACGATGTTTGACCCACGCGGCCAGCAATCCTTTGGTTACTTGTCCGATGCATTAACCATTCGTCCATGTCCCACTTAATATGTTTGATATGTATGGTCCGTTCTTGCAATTCACGTCCTTGTGACATAGTTTGTTGCCCGGAGTATGGTATGAGTTCTTCGTTTAGTCTAAAAATAGACGACCAGATTGTTTTCAAAGTAAACGCACAATATTATTTGTAACTGTTGTTTAATTTACTTCGATTTAAACTAAGTCACAATCAGGTTTTTGTCGATATCGTGTGGGAGTTTTACCACCTCGTGGTGTCATTTGTCAATAAGTCATCAAATACATTTTGTACCTTGTTGCGTAATAGACAATGAACTCGTTACACCTATCAATTAATTACAGTAACATTATATGCTTTTTATAACGTTTACTTTAACCAAATAATCGTTTATATAAAAGACAAACAAATGAATTACAATGCCACCACATTGCGAGTATATTAGCATAAAGATGCTAAGTTTGTATAAATAAATTTCTATTTGTGTCCAAGTAGTTTAGATCCGCTGGTTTCCATCATTGGCCTTCCACCAAAGTAAGTTTAAGTTGCGTTCATTTAAAGCCGCCATTCCTTGTTGATCTTGTTTATCATATTTTAGTCCCACCATATAATTTTAATTCTATTTTTTATTCTTTGAGGAAGTTACCCGGCTAGTTTACGGAAATTGGACTCAGAAATTCGTTCTTCTCTACACATTTACACATTAAATACGAAGCTACACTTGAAAATCGTTTCGTTTGGTAAAAGATAAACTACAGCTTAAATTAGCGCGTGCCATCAAAAAGTCGGCGATTACGTTGTTACTATTGCCGAAATATAGTCTCTTCACGTACTATGCAGAAATGGATATATTTTTCTAATATTCACTAAAATAGATTCCTTGTAATGAGTCGTGTATTATCCACGGTACTATTAGACATATTGTAATATATAATGCGGAAATGTTGAAAAAGTCATTATAGTGACACATCGGCTTGTTGATTATATTTTGGTTACTTCTTTGGAGAAGATATAAATAAAAAATGTCTCTTTTTTTCTTGCATATTCATCTGTAAATAAAGCATCCTGATATGCAAAACTGAAGAAAAGATAAAAATGAATCATAAAAAGACAGAATATAATTTGTTTTTGCCCACGTTGTGGTTCCAAATCAACAAGTTGATTCCTCTCGTCTTCTACCTGTGTTTGTTAATTAAATATCATTATTATTCTTTTCCATTTTGCTAAACACATATATATACTATATATTCGTACACTTTGAATCATGAAACAAATTTGAGACGCTCTCAAAATTCATTTCATTTCTTTTTTACATGATAAAGACATTGGAAAATGTACATTAAAGGGGGTTTCCTACATGAATATGAGCTTTTTGTAGCTTTTGTTGTTGTTGATAGATTTAACTTCGCACCAACGTAGAAGAGGTCATAGGGCTACTTTATATTAACTGGTCGAGGAAGGCCTCTCCGTGCACTATTTCTACTATATCAGGAATAATAGGGCACCTGAGTAGAACCACCGACATTTCATAAGATTGTGGACAGCTTCCTCAAATGAAAGAGTCCGAAGTACAAACCTACAGCGATGTGAGACAAGTGGCTTGAAGTTAAGGACATTAACCACTCGGCCACGGACGTCCCTGTTTATGAGCTGTTGAAGACACTTCTTCGTGTGGAGCGTATATTTTTTGAAATGTAATAATGTCAAATATTGCATTCCATGCAGATCCGTGTTTACTTGACTCTTCTTGCCACAATAAACACTCATCTATGTGTGTTGCTCCGCGCTATGATATTAAGTGATCCGAATGTCTCGGCGAATAGCAGCTGGTATATTTGTGCTTTTGTCTTTGATCAGTAAACATACTTAAGCGTTAGAATAGTTCAAAAAGTAAATACGACTCGAAGACTCTGTGAAAATATTTAGGTCGACCATAATTCCACTAGGAATATCTTGTCTTATCGAGTGACGACGTGGTCTTTCTCTTCTAACAAGGATATATTTACCGATTCTGATTATGGTGCACAAGAAGTTAACATCATCATTTAATAGAGCTCTCAGACCCATCCGATAAAGGACCTGATCGTGTTTTACTTTCCGAAACCCTCACAGTATCTTAATCTGCTTTGTGATTGATCTTTTCGCATTTTTTTTACCGAAGCTGTAGCTGCATGTTGATATCAAGCCAAATATATATGTTGCTGTCGGAACATCACCACTACCTTCATCACCGTTATATAATCTAGTCCAGTCATGAATACATATTGGCTTCCGTTAAGAAAAATATATAAAACAAAGTAAAAACATTATGATTAGATAATAAATTAATCTAAATAAATAAATTACATGTAATTAAAAAAATATTTTTGTTCAACGTATGTTTTGCAGACGATTCGTATCTCACGTATTAGTGTATGGCTTTATTCATATCAGCTATTAATTTGAATACAACTTGTGATATATCTTTATTCTCTATAAATATATGCACTCTTATATCAGTTACAATTTTCTTGATGCATCGGTTTAATTAAATAAAAATATAGAACACTTTTTATCTTGATCTTGATGTTTGGTGTTTCTGTACTGTCTAACATAGCATGAGAAATTTCCTCCGTTGTTAAAATTATGCGAGGGCACGTGTATTAGTTTCACGTATCAAATTTTCAGATTCGAGTGACACTATCCGTTTAAATCTTTAAAAATTATAACCGATGAAGTTTTCAAAATGAGGCAACCTAATAAGTGTTAAGTTAAAGATATGAATTCATATTAAAATTATATTTCAATCGAATAAATGCGAATATAGTCAATGAAAAAAGACAAAATTGACAATTAAGTAATAAAAACGAGTTTGATATATGACTTTCACAGCAAGAAAATTTGTTCCATGTGAACGTTTCAAAATGACGAATTTTTCAATCCGACTGGTATCTGAACTATATAGCTTTTGAACATGTACAAAAGACGAACTTAAGATTTGACTTTGAATATTTAGGTTAGAAGAATGTCTGCTGCAATAAAACTCAGAGTTACTTACGCTAAAGAGTAATAAAATACATTTCCATTATCAAATAAAGAAAATGGAATTCTTAAAGAACGTCCAAATCGACATAATTGTAAATGCTGTAGGTTTTGTTTGAATGAGCCTGTTAATGGACGCTACCGGAAAGTGCAAGATACTGTGCAGCTCCCACCACCACCCCCTTCCACACACACACACACATACCCATCACCAGCTTTATCAGAATTAAACATTTAAACATGAAAATGGTGAAATTTTGAAATTAGAAACATCCACCATCCTGTTTTTACATTTCTATGATGCATTAATATATAGTTCCAGTACATTATTCTTAAAAACAGATCGAGCAAACCTTACGCAAAAACAAACAAAATTTTAATAATTATATTTCCAATTCAAATTAATACTAGTTTTCAGACAGTTTAAACTAATTTGTTAAATCATTTTTACTTTCATTTGATTTTACAAATGAGGGTTAATTTCACATGAACATGTCGAGCCACTAAATAACGCCAATATTTGACAGCCTTGATATGATTCATTACATATCTTCCATTATCTAATGAAAGAAAATCTCACATAATAGTCACACAGTGACCTTATATTCATTCATTATAATATATATTAATATTTTTACCTTCCTAACAAAACTTTAATGAAACAATTAATGAGTACTAATTTTAAGAAGAAACTCACTCCACTCCGTTTGTTATATAAAACTGTCGGTCATCAATCACAAACATGTGATGCGTCAACGTAAACCACCGTAACATCATAAGCAATTATTGTAAAACAAGAGTTTAACGGAGCTATCGTATTATCGTGTATGACGGATCGTCGCGGCGTGCATGACAGTCGTGTAAAAACTTTTAACACTTTATATAAAGACTTCTCATGACAATTTCTTTTTAACTTTAGAAAGGAAGTGGTAAGACATTTAAAATTTCTTTTGCATATTACAACAATGAATTCATGTTATTTTCTTTTTCAATTCGGTATTTCTTGGCATCTATAGGACCATTTTAAAACTAACTTTTTGTTAATGTTATTTAAATTTCAGATTTAGTTGAACGAAGTTATAAGACAATGCATAGCTTATTACTCTCACTAACTCTCTTCCTAACATTCATGTGGGCAACGGAAGCTAAGTTATTTGTTCTGCAGTCAGATTTTCATAGAAGCAGAGAGAACCATCCAGTGTGGGACCTGACAAACTCCTCTGATGGAACTGCCATAATTCTCGAGCCTAATAAGTATATGTCAATAAACTTCTGTCTTCGGCGGCGTTCAACGGTTCGATTGACGGACTTCCGGTTCTCAAATGGGAACAATAGTGAGATAGTTCAGGTCAAGATTGACGATATTCTCATGGGGTTATTCACATCGACTACAAATCCAAGACGGAGCTGGAATGTTTTCTTATCAACTGGTCCATTTCCAAGAGTCCCTGCTCTTCCAATTGGATGGCACAAATTAACTGTAAGTTTCAAAATTACATAAAATATATAGCAGGTGTTTCAATGTACGTTTATAACATAATACTTCAACTCAAACATATTTCTTTCTATACCAGATATAACATCTGTATAAACATAGTTACATTACATATGTTAATGTTGAGAGAAAATTGCGACATGTATTTATCACTAAGTTTTTGTGTCAAATGTTTAACAATTTCTCTAAACTTTGATCAGGATATTCCTGTTACATTCATGATCGGAAAGATTTGAGACTGACTGTATAAAGACAGTCAAATCTCGCTTATTTGAAATGTGCATGACAATTTATCCGTGCATGTACAAAATTTAACAATTAAGAACAATTACTTTCAGCAACACATGTACAAGAATTTTAGCTCACACTTTTCATTGACGATATCTGTCATATGTTGCAGTTCTAAAGATAAACGTATCACTAATATGTCATGGTCTATTAACATTCTGTCATTGTTTAGAATCCGTTGTGCTTCGCATTAACAAGCTACAAACGGGAATATTAGGTTCTCAGATAACTATTTGGCGGAAACTCGAGAGAGCCGCAATAAGGCGTCACAATTCAGCGCACAAACGAAAGACGTCATTATCTGCATCAAACAGCATTTAATGTATTTCGTTGCCTATTAAGCAACATCTATTTGATATAATTAGCAAAAGAATAACAATGTGACGCGTTCTGTTTGACGCCATGAAAAACAAATACCCATCCTGCATCTGTGGATCTTTCTAAATTCAAAATTTTGCCATTTCATGTGTAAATGCATGCTTTTAAAGCCAGTGCTAGAGGTCGTGGACGGTAATTTGCATTTGGCAGTACCATGCATGAACAGGCTCACACAAACCGAGCCTGCAACATTTTGTCAATTTTGTCGTTTTGGACTTTCTTTAGGGATTCTTATTTTCTCTGTATGAATAATCAGCCCATATATGGAATTACAAAGGTTAAATTGATAAAAAAAATCATTGTATTCATAATTATCCGTTTAGTCTGAAAGGTCCCGGATACCCACGTTCATTTAATCTTTACATGCAAGAACTAGCCTTTTTAATAGCAATATTAATAAATTATTCCAATAGCAATATTTACTACAAGTTTATTAAGTTTGTTTAAAATGAAATAAACTTTTAAACTTTTTGTTATTGCTGTTTTCTATGTTACAAAGTCGAAATTAACTAAACACTAGAATATTCTATAACAACAGTTTCACTGTATTGTTAATAATGATGTTTTGTTAAATTACTATGTTAATGTCAGAAAGCATGTTCTATCCAACAATGGTCTAACCATCGTCAAATAAAAACCTATTAACATATGTACTACGGAAGTTAGATCTGAAATATGAATTAAATCAATAATGAGATCTTTTAGGTTATCGTGTCATACAATCGATATATCTTAATGAGAAATAAAGTCACCCTTAACTGTGTTCTTGTGGAAATGATAATTTGTGCATGACCTTTATAAAGATTGCAATAATGAGAGATGGTCATCTTATACCATTCATTATAGATAACTCTATGGCCGCCACTGAGGTAACCGTCCACAAAATCGATAAAAAGATAAATCCAAAAGGCAATGCATCTCTACATTTAAACACTGAAAGTAAATGAAATGAATTGCTTTATACACTCATTAAATTTAATTGAATTAAGAATTGTTGTAGAATAAGTATAATGAGAATAAATATGACCATATTAAAAGGTTTAGTGTCCAGCTTTATTTGCCATCCAATGAAAACGATACATTTCTTAAAAATATATGCGTTAATTTTCATACAAGAACAAAAGTCGATTCTACATCGAATTCCGTTCATAGTCGACTTCTATTTTACATAGTACTTCATAGAACCGCATAGTGACGTAATAAAGTGAAAAATAATGAGGCCAAATAAAGCTTGACACTAAGTGTGTAAGTATTCATCCGTAGCTGTTCTACAGACAAATGAGACATCCTCCTGTCCCTATCACTCCCGTCGATGTTTCTAATGCCTGTAGAACAGCACGGATGAACACTATCATATACATGGATGATATTAGAGAAGGTTTGTCAGCACATGTTTAGTTCTAAATTAGCAAATGCCTTTCAATTTTTATCAGTTTGTAATTTTCATTTTCTCAGAAAATTGCCATTGTGATGATATTCAACTTTTTAATGAATTTAACTGCAACAAATGATAATGTGAAAATATAATTAAAATTGAAAAATGATAGACATATCAGGTTTTATTTCTGAATAATATTATTTATGTACAATATAATCTGCAAAAGACGCTTTGTAATGTAAACAATTGTAAAAGTTAAGAGGATATGTTAAAACAATAAATGCATCATATTATAGTTTACAACATTGGTATATTACAAAAACAATGGCATAAAATTACAATTAAACACAAGTGATATACAGGAAATTTATTCACGTTTGTTTTTTGCCAACGTCAAGTGTGCAAAACATAGACATCTTATTGCTTTGCACGAATAATTTAAATAGTGTGTGGTAATAAAATTGGTCAATAAACATTTAAAAGTCTATTTGGATATAGATTTACATCTTTAAAAACATTTTAAGAAATTTCATAAGTCATAGTACCACATAATCTTGACGTCAGTTAAACATGCATATAATTTACTGTTTAGGTTACTTCATTACATTAAAATAAATGCGAATTCGATTCTACTTGTATTTTTATCGCAAAATTTGTCATGATTTTTATTTATCAAAATTTCAGATGTTACGAATTTGATTTTGACTTTATATTTATAATGAGCCCAGCAGGCACATCAACGTTGTTTCAACGTTGAATTTTGGTCAGATTTCAACGTTGAAATAAGGTTGGATTTATATTCGGATTTGAAAGTTGTAACAACGTTGAAATTTCAACTTTGATACAACGTTGCAGCTTCAACGTTGGCACAACGTTGAAGTTTCAATGTCATTTCAACGTTGAAAACCCACCATACTTTAATTTTTGGATATAAAGCAAAGTAACCAAGCTTAACAAAATATCAAGACGTTATTAAATACTTCAGATATTTTATTTCAAAAATACAGTTCATGTGCAGCTTAAATTCACTTTAATAGTTTTATCAATTAAGCTACAATCTGTTCCAATCTTTTCTTCTTGATCTTTCTGGGTATGTCAAGTGTTTGAGTACTTCTTTGGCTGTCTCTTACTGCTTCTGCAAATAAAAATAAGAAGTTTGTAGTTAAAAGTGACTTGATCAATCTCAAATTATTCTTATAATTACTCAACTTAGTGATTTGTTTTTATCTAAAAATGCTTTTCTCTAAGATTTACATCATAAAACAGCATAGAAATTGAAACATAGCTAAGTTTGATATTGACAGCAAATACTGTATATAAGACAACAAAATCTTTTTAAAAAGAAGCTATTTAAAAGGCTCACCTATGATTGGTAAGAAAAACTGCTCTCCGTCAGTTCCTTGCAGCATATTCCCAAGAAATTAACATTCTAGGCTCTAGCTAAGACCATTTTATGCAGCATCCTGAAATCAACAAACATGTAAATTTTATATTAATAATGTTACAGGAATATTCCGAAAAAATATATTTTAAGACAAGATAAATATCCAGTAGTTGAAAAATTTATTCTTTGTATTGTAAAGAAATTCAAATATATAAATTAATAAGAATAAATTTCAATTTAACAAACCTGACAGTCCTTTTCATGTTGAATGTATGGTATACAGGCTACAGCGAATGTATGGTATACAGGCTACAGCTGCAATACTCTTTCCAAGACCAGGATCTAGAATATAAAATGATAAATAATAAAATAGAAATAGATTTATTATTCCCCTTAAATTTACGACTATTAAACTTTAAAGTTAAACACTCAAATTTGTTTCTTAACTTAATAATAATCATTATAATGTATTTTTTTCAAACTAATTAACACTGTATTATACTATCAATAAAATTTAAGCATAGGTATATGTATTGACGAATCGTCTTGGGACGTAAATTAAGTGGGCCGAACTACTTTATAGGTTTCAATTTTAAAATTGATTAAATTCAAAATAGGATATAGTACAGACAAATGTTTGATAATCTGCAAAATAAATTAAAGAAAGACAAGATTTGTTAAATCATAAATTGCCAAGGACATCAATAACTTCATGCTTACAAGGCCTACCGAACCCAAATCATTCAATTAGGTCGCGAAAACGTGTCAAATCATCTCAATCATGTGTTTATATCTCTCATTTATTTTATAAAGTAAATTAAAGTAGAATTTAAAGAATAAATAATAATATTTTAGAAAATAATCAGTAAACTAAAGTAAAAGATAACGGCAGAGACATATATAACAGAGATAAGCAGCTCCTATATACTGCATTGAAATATCACTCATGCCAATAAAAAAGTGAAAAAATAGGCATTTTTAGCAAATAAAACTTTATTGATGTACATTTTATCCTTTAATATGATATACCATTTGAAAGGTAAATCTTTTATCTATAGCTGCATGTTAAAATATTGGTAACTTCCCGTGTCTTTCACTTAAATGACATTGCAGAACATACCCACTGAGCCAGTGTTTTCATCACATGAATAGTTTGTAACAAAAATTAAAAAGTAGTTCTCTTTAAAAATCGATGTATCATTTATTTAAATAAGAACTGTAAATATTTTTACCTGCAGCCATAGACAAATTCATAAGCTTTCAGAAAATGTATTATTTTCCTGATTTTGATATCTGGTAAATAAGTTTTACTTGCTACAAGTTTTAAGTTTAGCAGGAACGCGTGATATTTTAACTGGTTAGGAAGTTGCCTATCTCTGTTATCTATGTCTCTGATAACGGTAATACCTTCGAAATATAAATAAATTGCCGATCGTGATGTTTTCAAATTTTCCAAACAGCGCCACCATTTGCACGAACGATAATCATGGACCAACAAACAAAATCGTAGACCGCAACAATTACTTCCCCTGACCAGCGTTATTTTATAAACGGGGTTTTGACTAATACCAATTTATTAAATAATATCATTCATAAAGAACTAAAGAATAAAACAACAAACAACAAAACATATTAACTAATATTTAAAGCGTTAATAGAAGTGAAAAATTATTTCCAACTTTATTTGTTTAAGCACTAATTTTGAATATACGGAAAAAGATTGTAACGCAAATTTTCCTGACAAATATCAGTTACAGACTAATTCAATAAAGGAATAATATCACAAAATTAGTGGTATAAAAGTTTATATAATTATTAAACTAAATGTAAAACTTCGACCATAAACAACGTTGAATCAACGTTGTATATACATTGGCAATATATCCGTATGGTCGTCCATAGTTGAATATTGGTTGAACAACGTCACGACCATATTTCAACGTTGTGTCAACGTTGAAACAATGTCGAGTGCCTGCTGGGAGTACATTTGCAAAGAACTTGAATGTTGAAATTGATAGTTCTGAAGAGTCTGGTAATTTATAGGAATTGTAAGAGAACCTGCTTTACTAGTATTTCTGTCTTATGGAACAAATGTCATAAATAATCAATACATTTAATTAATACATATGTAGTCAATTAAAATAATAATACATGTATTTGCTTGGCAATATATAACCCCAAGGAAATCCAGCTTCCATTAAAGTGAACATATATGTTGTAGTGTAACGCCCAGATCTGAATAACTAAATATTAATAAATCAACACAATATCAAGTTTATGAACGTCAGATATATGTATTTATTTAATATAAGATATTATTCTATAAGATAAAACAATTGCTTAACCGGTGTCTTTAACAATTTCACAATTCTTAAACAATTACGTAAAGCAATAAGAATCAATGTCAACTGCGTATTTAGCATAATTTAACCTAAGTGAGTCAGTCTGTTTAACATCAAAAACTGCACTCAAGAATATAATATTTTGCTTACCTTAAAATACTAAAATATTATACGCCTTAAACTTTATACCTTCATAATTCATAAATGCAAATATGCGTTTCCGGACAGCTAACAATTAAATAAACAATTATGTTTGCACGCTATATGTACAAATCCCCCCTTAGGTGATGACATGCCCATCAATTAACTAAATAAGGCATATCCCATTCGAGTGTCCGGTGACAGCTCATTATATTTAATATATCCGCCTATGTTTTGTTGACTAATTACCTGCTAATTACCGTTATCCTACAATGTCCAATAATCTTCACAATGTCTCTAGGATCAGTAAGCATGTTTAGTTGACAGCGCAAGTCTTTATGCTACCAAATTGTCTTATCTATTTGTTATAATCTACAAGTACAATGTATACGTTATGATTATGTTGCAGATATCTTTCAACGGCACGGCCGATGGGCTTGCAGTGGATCATATTGAAGTGGATATCGACGATGATAAAATAACTAAAGATATTCTATCTTGTGAACTCAGTTGTATACCCGACCTGAACTATCATGTCCGCAAAAATGATGTGTTAACAGAAGCTTCGTTCATTGTGCAAGAATCTTACAAAACAACATGTCCAGAGGTTGATAACATTAACGTACCTATCTTCAATCCTCATGTACAGACGTATGAAATAACAGCCGCATTGCCGCAGTATCGAGCCTTTTCTAACTGGAGGACAGAAAATACCACCGGTTGCCCCCACTTATCGCCGTTTTACTGGTCTTTTAATGACATTGAATTATCACCTTTTATGAGAAATATAATAGAAACACCAACGGCCAAATTGTACTTCAGTCGAGGAGATGATGCTTACTCCAAGGTGTCACTCCTGATGCTAGTTTCATTTAGACTTGAGGGAAAATCTAAAGGAATGGTTGATAGTGAGATGGGCACACTCCTGAAGGTTAAGTTTAAATATTTAACTGACGACGTAAGACTTACATTTAGATATAAAGGCCGATTACCTGGTATATCAACGCCCGAAATAAAACACGTGCAACCATTAAACCCGGAAACAGAATGGAACACACGTGATTTCACGTGGACTGATGTAGACTATAACGTGATTATTGTAAACATTGCGTCAAATTCCAGTAAACCACTTAGATTGCAGCATTTATTCTTAGAACGTCGCCCAATGCTTGCTGACCAAGTCAAGAGTATTTACAAAGGAGACGATACCATCATCGAGGTTGTTTTCAGTGACTTCTGGTGGTTAAATCCAGACTCAATGTCAGTACATCTTTCAACAGGAGAGGTTTATAACAATGTTTCATACTTTAGAATATACCGGCCGATTCCATGGAATTCCGGTTACGCTCAAGTATTTGTCCTATATCAAGACGGAAATGCGCGTTTACTGCCAGTGCCACCGGAAGGAGTAGATTGGATTCCATTCGGTTCATCAGTTATCATTGGCCAAACTGATCCGACAGTTGTCAGACCATATGCTTCCATTACAGATACTGTCATCGATGTGAACACTCTTAGTATGAGTCTTCAGTATAAAGATGGCGGAAAGTGTCGGCTAACGTTGCTAAGTAGCTTAGCTGAAACAAGAGTGGTAGTTTCGGATTTATTCTTTGCAAGAAATCCTATATTGTTCCCGTTCACTACGTTCAGATCTATGTATGTCGCAGAGGGGAACTCTGATGTAGACCACATCAAAATAAATGGAATCTACACAAGACATATCATGGATGACTTCAACGCAATAATGGGTCGTAATTTCGTATTTCACCGGAAATGTATGTCACGCCATCTTAACTTAAGTCCTGACATTTATATAGATATAAGGAGGACCAGGAATGACGTTGCTAAAGTCCAGCTAATGCAGTCAGAATCGTTCCAGAACTTATTACAGAGGATACAAAATCACAGATATCGATTGTGGACACCACGTCTTCGAAGCTTGTATTAACAACACAATATCACGTGACTATCTATTCTTCCCTCTTATATTTATTGAAAGTCTGAAAAACGAAAGCTTTATGACTAATTGTATAGCGTAACAAACAAAGGTTTTACTTGTTGTATGCGGTCACTAAACTTCTTATTACATGGACAACTTGAACTGCGTACTTGTATGAACTTACTGTAAAATTCCCGATGTGCTTTTGAACTTTGGCGGCTGTATATATAACATTTTCCTCTGCATTTTTGTTTTGTGATTGTACTATATTTATTGATATATTACCTGTATTTTTATCCTTTATTGATCAAGGTCATTGAATATGTTTGTAAAGAAATAAACAATTTTCAGGTAGGTTTACTACAACATCAGGTGTCAAGACTTATAGTACCGAGTGGCAGCTGTAAAAAGTTGCCCCGTACTTCACTTCAGTGCTATAAATATTTTTCTGCCCCTCAGGATCATTAATTCTAGACAAAACTCAATCAAATCGAGTGTACAATTTTCATACACTATTGTTGATTTCATTGCTTTCCAGGGATCACCTCATTTCGGTACATTATTTTTAAAAAAGTGAGATCGGTTTGGTAGAAAAATAAATCTTAAGATCGTTCCGATGATAAGTTTCCATTAAACATTTATCATATACAGAATTTTTTATCATCTTTAGTGAATTATCAATAGTTTGCACGTGAATTACGATAAGTAAGATACATGTATATATATTCATAAGCTCATTCAGCTTCATATATACTTTTTTACAAACAAAGCATTTATTTTGTGTTTCCTTGTGCGTCCATTATTGATGATCGAACGATGAAGCTCATAATTTGTCAGAACCATTTATAAAACTATTCATCATGTTATTTCCGTGTTTGAATGTATTATGATGATTTTTTTGTTAATTTATTACCAGTGACATTTTAGTAAAAAATGTATTAAAATTGTATTTCTTTGAGTTTTTATTGATGTATTCAAAACGTATTTGATTTTCCTTACACGGTGAATGAATTACGTTTGTTTGATGTTTACGTAGGTTACCACCAATTATTCATTTAGTTGGTAAACCAAGAAACTTTTCTCAGTATTTAATTTGAGGATGGATATAAATGGCTCATTGTTCAATTCAGCTTGAATTCAGATAATTCAGATGATTCCAACCCTCATACATAACGGTTATGTTATTAAGTTATAAAATTATTAGTTTGATAGTACTGCATGTTTGTAACGTTGCTTTTACATCGGATAATCGTGAATACGTGATGTGCGCCAGGTTATATGGTTGTTTGCAATCAAAGCGTTTACAAATGGTCATATAATCTATCAAAATCTTTACATAACTAGTATTATAATGATAAGGGGTATATGTAATGATATTCTGAATTAAAAAAGACATGAATTTTACTATAGAAAGGAATTTATCGCTAAACAAAGTTTCCGATTTATTGCTCTGTGTTTGATTCAATAAAACGTATGTTAGACGGAAGAATGTCTTAGAAAAAATACAAAATATTTCATATAAGTCATTGATGTTTACAGCTATAAATGGTCCATAAACAATTCAGAATTAATACAGCAATACATGGTCCGACACAAAGATACATTGTCTATACAGCGATACGTGGTCGATACAAACAATTCATGGTCTGATGCAACGATACATGGTCTAAACAGCGATGCATGACTTGTTCAACGATACATGGTTCATACAACAATATGTCTATACAATGATACATGATCTATTTAAATGATGCGTCGTCTATAAAGTTGTGCATGGTATGATACAAAGATATATGATCTTTTTACAATGATACATAGTCTATATTACGAGTCGATAGATGGTCTACAACGATATATGGTTTAAAGAATGATAAATTATCTATACAAAAAAGCGGTCAATGCAACGATACAAAGTACATGTATATGTAACGATAAATGGTACTTACTACGATACATGTTACATACAGCAATACATATTTCATAAAATGGGTCTACTACGAAAAAAGATCTATCCAAAGAGCTGAATTGTACATGCTATTAAAAACTGTATTGCAACAGCATAAGTGACAACGTCAGGTGATCTGTAAAATGAGTTAACCTCTGTACATCTATACTTTATCAATAAATGGGGTCTACCATGATACATTTTAATTTAGTAATACATGGTTTATTCAACCATATATAGTTTAAACAGAGATATATGGTATTTGTATTGATAAATAGTCTATACATGGCCTATATTGTGAGGTTATTATACATTGTTCAGTTCAATACTAAATTCTTAGGACGAGTACACATCTGTAAAAACTATATTGAACGATGTGCAAGCCATAGTCTATATAATGAAACATTATCCATTTAATTATACATCGTCTTTGCAATGATACATTGTTTATAAAATTATACCTAGTCTATAATGGGAATTGGTCAAAAAAAATGTTATTTGGTCTAAGCCATCATTCATGGTTTATGTGATGGAAAACGCCAAAAAAAATACATGGTCAAATAAAAGAGACATTCCATATATCATGAGACATCGTCTATTTAACGTTCCATGGTTTATAAGACGATATAACTAGGCATGGTCTCTATAAAGAAAGACGGTCTATATATAGCGAGACATGATCTATATTATGAGACATGATCTATTCATTGAGACATGGTATATATAATGAAAGACGGTCTTTAAAATGAAACATGGTCAATAATGAAACATGGTCTACATAATGAAACATGATCTATGTAATGAGACATTGTATATATGATGAGACATGGTCTATATAATGAGACATGGTCTATATAATGAGACATGGTCTATAGATGAGACATGGTCTATATAATGAGACATGGTCTATATGATGAGACATGGTCTATATAATGAGACATGGTCTATATAATGAGACATGGTCTATATGATGAGACATGGTCTATATAATGAGACATGGTCTATATAATGAGACATGGTCTATATAATGAGACATGGTCTATATAATGAGACATGGTCTATATAATGAGACATGGTCTATATGATGAGACATGGTCTATATAATGAGACATGGTCTATATAATGAGACATGGTCTATATAATGAGACATGGTCTATGTAATGAGACATGGTCTCTATAATGAGACATGGTCTATATAATGAAACATGGTCTATATAATGATGAGGCATGGTCTATAAAATGAGACATGGTCTATATAATGAAACATGGTCAATATAATGAGACATGGTCTATATGATGAGACATGGTCTATATAATGAGACATGATCTATATAATGAGACATGGTCTATATAATGAGACATGGTCTATATAATGAGACATGGTCTATATAATGAGACATGGTCTATATAATGAGACATGGTCTATTTAATGAGACATGGTCTATATAATGAGACATGGTCTATATAATGAGACATGGTCTATATAATGAGACATGGTCTATATGATGAGACATGGTCTATATGATGAGACATGGTCTATATGATGAGACATGGTCTCTATAATGAGACATGGTCTATATGATGAGACATTAGGGCTGGGGCGAGTATCCGAGTACTCGGATAATCACGAATCAAAGTGGTAAATCGAGTTTGAATATTCGTAAACCCAGAGATCGTGGATCGCGATTTAATTTTTTTATATACATTCACTATTTCTCACAATACGATTTGAGTATAAGTTATATGAAGTTTACCTATACAATTTGCCGGTTTAAGACCATGTACCATGATTCTAAGCTAGGAAGTAATTGGTTTCAAAAAACAAAACAAAAATACTCATCCAAAGAATAAAAACATAAACCTAGTTTATATTTTATATGTTTAATGTTTAGTATTGTTGTTTTTTTTTGGGTGTCTTGATAACAAAAGATTTGTGGTTCGATTTGTGAATCGTAAGTGCTGAATCGTGGTTCGGATCGGATCGTCACTTATCCGACGATCCACACCCTTATGAGACATGATCTATATGATGAGACATGGTCTATATGATGAGACATGATCTATATGATGAGACATGGTCTATATGATGAGACATGATCTATATAATGAGACATGGTCTATATGATGAGACATGGTCTCTATAATGAGACATGGTCTATATAATGAGACATGGTCTATATAATGAGACATGGTTTATATGATGAGACATGGTCTATATAATGAGACATGGTCTATATGATGAGACATGATCTATATAATGAGACATGGTCTATATGATAAGACATGGTTTATATGATGAGACATGGTCTAAATAATGAGACATGGTCTAAATAAAGAGGCATGGTCTATATGATGAGACATGATCTATATAATGAGACATGGTCTATATAATGAGACATGGTCTATATAATGAGACATGATCTATATAATGAGACATGGTCTATATGATGAGACATGGTCTATATGATGAGACATGGTCTCTATAATGAGACATGGTCTATATGATGAGACATGGTCTATATGATGAGACATGGTCTATATAATGAGACATGGTCTATAAAATGAGACATGGTCTATATGATGAGACATGGTCTATATAATGAGACATGGTCTATATAATGAGACATTGACATGGTTTATATGATGAGACATGGTCTATATGATGAGACATGGTTTATATGATGTGACATGGTCTATATGATGAGACATGGTCTATATGATGAGACATGGTCTATATGATGAGACATGATCTATATAATAAGACATGGTCTATATGATGAGACATGGTCTATATAATGAGACATGGTTTATATGATGAGACATGGTCTATATGATGAGACATGGTCTATATGATGAGACATGGTCTATATAATGAGACATGGTCTATATGATGAGACATGGTCTATATGATGAGACATGATCTATATAATGAGACATGGTCTATATGATGAGACATGGTCTATATGATGAGACATGGTCTATATAATGAGACATGGTCTATATAATGAGACATGGTCCATATGATGAGACATGGTCTATATAATGAGACATGGTCTATATGATGAGACATGCCCTATATGATGAGACATGGTCTATATGATGAGACATGGTCTATATAATGAGACATGGTCTAAATAATGAGACATGGTCTATATGATGAAACATGGTCTATATGATGAGACATGGTCTATATGATGAGACATGGTCTATATGATGAGACATGGTCTATATAATGAGACATGGTCTATAAGATGAGACATGATCTATATGATGAGACATGGTCTATATGATGAGACATGGTCTATATAATGAGACATGGTCTCTATAATGAGACATGGTCTATATGATGAGACATGGTATATATAATGAGACATGGTCTATATGATGAGACATGGTCTATATGATGAGACATGGTCTATATGATGAGACATGGTCTATATGATGAGACATTGTCTATATAATGAGACATGGTCTATATGATGAGACATGGTCTATATAATGAGACATGGTCTATATGATGAGACATGGTCTATATAATGAAACATGGTCTTTATGATGAGACATGGTCTATATAATGAGACATGGTCTATATGATGAGACATGGTCTATATGATGAGACATGGTATATATAATGAGACATGGTCTATATGATGAGACAATGTCTATATGATGAGACATGGTCTATATAATGAGACATGGTCTATATGATGAGACATGGTCTATATGTTGAGACATGGTATATATAATGAGACATGGTCTATATGATGAGACAATGTCTATATGATGAGACATTGTCTATATAATGAGACATGGTCTATATAATGAGACATGGTCTAAATGATGAGACATGGTCTATATAATGAGACATGGTCTATATGATGAGACATGGTCTAAATGATGAGACATGGTCTATATAATGAGACATGGTCTATATGATGAGACATGGTCTATATGATGAGACATGGTCTATATGATGAGACATGGTATATATAATGAGACATG